GGTACACTTGTTGATGAGGTGTGCCCACCCCCCTTCCCTGGCAGTTTCCCACTACTGCCAATCCCCATTCCCCCCCGCCCCTCCCCCGGCAGTTTCCCATATAGTATTACGATAATTGTTCAAGGCCCACTTATGGGTGAGAACATGTGATACTCAGTTCTTTGTTTCTGCAATAGATCACTCAGTATTATAGACTCTAACAAAAATAGAGTATTATAGACTCTAACAAAAATAGAGTATTATAGACTCTATTTCTTGGGGGCAGGATGTGAAGGCAAGATCTGTGTTTGGTTTGATAATAAATGCTAATTTGTTTACATGCAACTAATGCTGGCAGTTAACAGGGACAAACGGCCAGTCTTTACAAAATATTTTTCTAGTCCATCTAGCTGACTTCATGTTAACATCAAGATTGAGAAACTATTTGATAAAGGGAAAGAACATCAAGAAATACTTAGCTTACTGTTTAAATCTTAAAATTTTGGCAGGTGTTCTTATGTGTTCATCCTTCAATAACATTTTTATAAAATGACAGAAAAAAAGAGTTATTTGTGGAAAAAAATTAGAGATTCACAAGGTAGAAAGTAGTAGAAGTCAGTTACAGAAAACAATTCACAAAGTCTTCACTTTAGCTTTTTAAGTAATTTGTCTAAGATATTTTCTTAATTATTTCAGTGTTCGACCTCCTAAGAAAAGTTGGAAGAAGATCTTCAACCTTTCGGGAGGAGAAAAAACACTCAGTTCGCTGGCTTTAGTATTTGCTCTTCACCACTACAAACCCACTCCCCTCTACTTCATGGACGAGATTGATGCAGCCCTTGATTTTAAAAATGTGTCCATCGTTGCATTTTACATATATGTAAGTAATCATTTAGGGGTTTCATTCCACTCCAGGCCCCCCATACATTACACACGGGATTCTGTGACTTCTTACCTTTGAGCTTTTTCCCTGTTCTCTAACTCCATGTCCTCTGATGTCAGTGGAGACCAAATACTTTTTTATTTGAACCAAGTATTTCCATTTTGGAGAAATAAAATATAAATTAGTAGCAGAATCACAACTGGAATCCCAGCTGGAATCCTAGTTCCTTTCTATTAGGAGACTTTTAGGCAGTCATGCTTCAAAAATAACCCAAATTCCTCTGAAACTCAAATACCGTTTTATGAATTCATCCATGCCATCATTCCTTTACAGGTTAATTATCAGTGTAATGTTGAATTTATTGTTCAAAAAAATGAAGTTACGTTTATTATGTGATTTACCCATTAATAATTAATGTTTCTAACTTACTCTTTCTTTCTCTTTAGGAACAGACCAAAAATGCCCAGTTCATAATAATTTCTCTTCGAAATAATATGTTTGAGATTTCAGATAGACTTATTGGAATTTACAAGACATACAATATAACAAAAAGTGTTGCAATAAACCCAAAAGAAATTGCATCTAAAGGACTTTGTTGAACTTGTTTATACTGAAGAATGTTCACATTGACCTGGTTCACGTTGATTTGGTGTATTATACTACTGATTTTTTTTTTTTGTAAAGGAGTATGAGTTATATAAAATGTGTTTTTCCTATACTGGATTATAAATCTGGTTTCTGTTTTGTGATGTGAATTGTCATGTTGTAGAGTCTAATAAAATATTCTCTGTGCCTGCTTTTAGGAAATTGTTAAACTGGCAATTATGCAAGTGGCAGACTGAAGAAAAATAAGATACCTTGAGGGTCAGGTGACTTGCCCGTAGTTCCAGGTTGTTGTCAGCAGAGTTAAGTGTGTTAGTTGAGGCAAAGTTCTATACCAGGTTGTGTTGTCAGGACTTTGGCCAACACCAGAAAAGTCTGCCAGCTCATCTTGAGTGAATTCTTAAGGGCCATTTAATTTGCTAATTTAGACAATCATATTTATTACCCAGATAACGGAATTGTTTGTAAACCAGTCATTCTGGATTATAGGGGTGAGAAATTAAATACCATGCTTTTCTAAAACGATGTGTTTGGCCATTTAAAACAGTTGCAAGAGATTCGATAAACTAGGACAATATCTGAACACAACTAGACTATCTCATGTTGAAAAATACCCCTATAATGGCGTTCATAAGAAAAATGAAGCATAGATAGTCCCTGACTTAGGATTGTTTGACTTAATATTTATCAACCTTATAATGGAGTTTATCAGGGTATTACATACATTTCAACTTAAGATATTTTTGACTAATGATAGTTTTATCATTAGTCTCACTGTTACGTCGAGGAGCATCTGTATTTGGGGAATCTATCAACTTCCTTAGTAATAAATGGAAAGTAAGATGTCTTGAGTGCTATTTGCCTATCAAATTATCAGGGTGTCCCCCCCCCCCATATTGGCTGGGGAATTCCTACAATGTTATTAAAGATAAGTTGGCAACCACCTAATTTTCAGAAGGAATTTTGGTATTGTATCAGAAGTTTTTGACCTAGCTATATAATTTCTGGATATTTCTCCTAAGTAATTAGAGTTCACTGGGTCAGTGGATCATTATTTTAGTTATTAAAAATCTAAGACTGTATCCTAATAAAGCCATAAAAATATAAACACAGTAGCATGGACTTTAAATAAAACAATATCTGAAATTCAAGTATGGTCATTTGTTTTAAATCAAGAATAAGGGAAAAGAAGTAAAAAAAAAATGCTATCATTTTAATCAAATGTTTTCATTGGTAACAGTACAAATAAATGGAATTTAACACTTTTATTACATTCTGATAACCAGTGCAGTAGAGCTTAGAGCTTGGTACTGTAAGACTTAAAACAGAAAATAACCAGAACTCAACAAAAATTCCAAAGCTACCAGTCCTGAGTTTGAGCATCTTACCAAGTGACTCAGTGCAAATAAAATAACAAATGAGTTCATTAAAATGTTTTTATTAGATATAAGACTTTAGAAATATTGCAAGATTATATACTTTAAATCGTGCAGTCTTTCTCCTGGTAAAAATACAAAACGGAATAGCATGTATAAGAATGACCTACTTGTATACCTCATACCTTGTAAAACACTTCATAAAATTCATTGAAAAAGTCTTAACTAAAAACTGGCGAATTACAGAATATTAATGTCAGGCCTAAAATGGTGTAGGTATATACCTTTTTTTTTTAGCTATAAGTGATTCTTTCAGATTATAAACCCTAATTTGTCAACATTAATCTTGGCGTACTTAAGTCCTTTAAGGGTAGTATGACAGCATGCGGAAGAGTACGTGGGTTCTCCCACAAACCATGGCCTTGGCCAAATAATTTTATGTATTTCCTTGTCTACAAAAGGTGAGGGTTAAAAATACCAACTTCTCAGAGACAAGTCAGTGCTTCACACAATGGCTAACATACACTCCATTGCTTACTAAATAAGACTTACAAAAGACTTTATGGTGTGACTATTAAGTAGTCAAATTAATGCAATTTAAATAATCAAGTTAGTAACTATTTCTAAACTCATTTGTGACCACTGATGTGAATTCATGTCATTCCAAATTCTGTTCCTGGTTGCCACTTAACATGAATTTTACCTCATCGTGGAAGACTGTCTTTTTGGGTTTATAATATAATCTGAATAAGAATACAAAGTATGGAATACCAGTCAAGAGTGGTATAGGAGGCAAATAATGGATATGTCTGCAACTTTCAGCTGTATTGTGAAAAAGGTGACAGTTTAGAAAAGACCATTTCACTTGTGCTTAACGGTAAGTTTGAGGCAATTAACTTCAGTTTTTATTTTCACCCGCTCAGTATTAGGAAAGTGAAAAATCTGCCGGTCGTTAATGTGCTAAAAGCTGAATATATCTCACCTATTATACCCTTCAAATGTACTTTGTTCACACAAGTTAATTGTACTAGGTACAATCTGAGTCTGATCGTAAATTGAATACAGTCATGTTAGTCTTAAGACTTGCTCTCTGTAGGCGAGAACTTGGGAGAGCTTTCTAACTTGTTCCCAGAATAACATAGGTATTCATGATAATGTGTAATCTGTAGGGCCAGGAGCATTTCTTAATCTGGTCTAGAAAGTCTACAAACTAGGTAAGGTTCCTCAGTAATCAAGAGCAGCCCGTGTGGGAAAGCAAGTCAGTTTGCTCTCAGGGTTGCATGGAGAATGGGCCAAGTCATACCACACAAATCCCGTTAAGGAAACCAAAGGGCTTAACGAAGTTAAAGAATACAAAGTTAGTCCAGGTGCAGTGGCTTACTCCTGTAATTTGGAAGGCTGAGGTGGGAGAATTGTTTGAGGCCAGGAATTGGAGACCAGCCTGGGCAACATAAGAAGCTCATCTTTACAAAAAATTTGCAAGGTGTGGCATATGCCTTAAGTCCCGGCACTTTGGGAGGCTGAAGTAGGATCGCTTGAGCCCAGGAGATTGAAGCTACAGTGAATTATGATTGTGCCACTATACTCCAGTCTGGGAGACAGAGCAAAATCCTATTTCCACACACAAAAAAACTAATTTGTTACTTTCATATTAGCAAAAGGGATGTCTGGCAGGAAATTTAAGAGTTTTTAAGATGAATAAAGCTCACATGATGCCATCAAAACCTGTTGTGGATGAATTACATCACCAACATGATTCTGTTCCAAAAACAATGTTTTTGTTATCCAAGAACTGATTTGACTGACAGAAGACTACAAAAGTCAAATACAATCTTAAAACTTACATAAACTATAGAATACGACAGGTAACAAAATGCCCATTCCCTAAAGCAAAAGCCTTATTTGGAATGAATGTTGATAAATATTTAGGGCTCTTAAATCTACCTAAAACACATTAGATGGATGGATCAGGTATGTGTGATCAAAAGTAATGCCTTGTCATTTTAAAACTGCTATAGGCCAGGCACAGTGACACACGCATATCTCAGCACTTTGGGAGGTTGAGGTAAGATGGTTGCTAGAGCCCAGTAGTTTGAGACCAGCCTGGGCAACATAGCAATACCTTGTCTAAAAAATCAAAAAATTAGCTAGGCATGGTGGCATGTCTATGGTCCCAGCTACTTAGGAGACTGAGGCGGGAAGATCAATTGACGCCGGGAGGTCTATGCTGCAATGGGCCATGATTGTGCCACTGCACTCCAGTCTGGGTAATAGAGTGAGACTCTGTCTTGACAAAGTTTGCTGCTAGATTTTAAAACCTCTTTTTTGCCATCCTTATTCACCTATTCAAAAGCTTCAAGTCACATCAAAATGAAGGCATATGCACTTTGAGGATTTGGCTATCTTTTAATCTAAATGCTACATTTACATAACTGCAAAGCCAACTTACTGTATGTAGTATGTCATAATGGTTAAGACAATATTGGTATAAGAATGTTTGAATGTCATAGCAATTAAGTCAACCCTTATAAAGCCAATAAAAATTGGACAATGTATTAATAGTCAAACCAAATAATTACTAGATTTTTTCCTAATGATGATTGGATTTGAGTCATGTTTCATAAACTGTCTCATTTCTAACTTTGATCCATCATTTCTAAACAGAAGCATGGAAGGTTTAACACATTTCTATATGCTTATATTTGTTGCAACTCTAATAAAGTTTAGTTTGCTATTTATCTATGCTACCCCTATTTCTCCATTTTGCAATGGTTAGTCTCTGCTATACAGACTTAGCCCATATAAACAATTCATATTTAAATTTTCAGTGAGAAACTATTTTCCACATGAATTCCTTCAACAAATATAAAGTGTGACATAGTATGTTATTTAAATCATGGAGATTGTTTGATAAATCATGGTAAACAGATAGAGAAACTTCAGAAAAACATATTGAAGTGATTTCATTTAAGAACGTTACAACATGTTGGTTGAAAAATAGTATCAACATCAGTATCATTGATATTAGTGTAACTATAACAATGTTAAAAATTTTTAAGAATTCAACTTCTTTTTCATCCTTATCAGGCCAGGAACATGGCATCTCTTTTGAAGAAATTTTCATTTCAGGAATGAGAACTTCCTTAATTTGTCCAATTTCTGTTCTGCTCCATTCTTTCAATACTTTGCTTACTCGAGGATAAATTTCAACTGGACGAACCTCGGGAAGTGGTCTTTGCTTCAAGATCTGCACACGCTGGCGGACATCATCAACTTTTTCAAGAAATTTAAGTGGAGATTCCTCTTGTAAAGATGTTGTCAGTGTCATTAATTCAAGCTGTTCCTCTCTTATTTCTTTCATTCTTTCAATTTGTGGAGTATATTCTTGAGTAATCAGATTGCCAACATCACAGAGAGCCAATAGGAAGGTTTTTTTTTTCTGTTCCAGTGTATCATTAAGCTCCTTAAAATACTGGAGAACAACTTCCTGATCACCTTGAACCATTTTCTCAGAAAGAGATTTTTGTTCTTCCAGCTTTTCAGTAAGACGACTAAGGTCTGTCCAATGTGTGTCAGTTAACTGTTCAAGCAGTTTTTGAGGAGTGTCCTTTTCTTTCAAATAGGCACTTTGAAGATCATCTATAGGATGACCGTGGTGTTGACCTATGGTAAGGCAATGACCACAAACTAATTTTTTATCTAGTAGACAATAGACATTCAACGGCTGCCTGTAATGTTCAGGACAGGTAACAATATCCGGATGGTCTTCTTGCTGGTACTTTTCAATAATAGCCCTCAATGCAAAATTAACGGGTAAAGATTCAATACCAGATGCAGCAATTTCAACAATACTTCTGCAATTCGGGCATTTGAGTGGAATTCGTAAAGGTCTCCATATGTAAAAGTTACCAGATGCCTGAAGAACATTTTCCAAACAATTTCTACAAAATGTATGAGAGCATGGCAGTACACGAGGATCTTCAAAAATACTATAACAAATGGAGCATGTTAACTCGTCCTCAAAATTGTGCATTTCCTGTCAAGAGAAATAAGTATTTTAAGTCTATATACAACAGACAGCTGCACATATTATGGAACATCCTAAGCATTAATCTCCAAACTGTTAATATACTGTGCTTGTCATTTAAATGAGGACAATTGAGGCATTTATTAAGATTTTTTTTAAGTGAAGCTTTCTTAGTAATTCAATTCCTAATATATATAATATTGAATAATCATCTTTAAGAGTTTATTCCTTTGGGATAAAAAATCATTCCAAACAAAACAACTGCAATTGTTTTTGTTAGTTTAAGAGAAAGAGTCTTGCTCTGTCACCCAGGTTGGAATATGGTGGTGTTATCATGGCGCACTGCAGCCTCAAACTCCTGGGCTTAAGCAATACTCCTACCTCAGCTTCCCTAGTAGCTAGGACTGCAGGCATGTGGCACCACACCTAGATAATTTTTTTGTAGAGACAGGGTCTTGCTATGCTGCCCGGGCTAGTCTCAAACTCCTGGGCTCATGTGATCCTCCCACCTCAGCCAAAAAGTGCTGGGATTATAGGTGTGAGTCACTGCACTTGGCCTGCAATTAATTTGTAATGAAATGCTTCAAAGTTATTTAAATGTGTTTGTAATTAAAAATAAATAAAATTCAAATGTTTTATTAAAGTCTACTTACTGATTACTTATTGATTTTAACTATTCTGTACAATTTTTTAATACTCTAAGATGCTAAAATCAAAACTATACACATATAATGAATAGGCAAGACTATTTCTATTCCATAACAATACAAGTTAGACTTAGCAAAACTATATTCTTTAATCCAAAAGAAGGAAGCATGCTCCCAGTTGGTTCAATCATGATTTCTGAAGCAAGTCACTACATTTCTCTTGAATTCGCTTCTTGAATTAGAATACAAGTATGCTGAAATCCCAGGATCAGCACAGTGTAATTTTCTAAGGCAATAATTTTAACTTGAAGATTTAGAAGGGGGAAAAAAGTTTAAATTAGTCCTTACAATAAAAATCAGCTTGAAAGATGAAGAGTTAATTGTGGTAACTTTGAATTACTGACTTTTTAAAAGTGAAAAACCAGAGCACTAATGGTAAAGAAGAGCAAACACCACTGGTCATCTTTCCTTCATTAAAAAAAATCTCATGATGAGTACTTCCCTGAGACAAAAAGAAACCAGGATATAGTTCAGAAGCTATCTCTGACACAAGTCACTTGACCTCTTGGCAAGCTGCTATTGATATTTCTAACAACAGAAGCCTGATGGTTTGCACCCTACCACCCCCAAGATCAGAGGAGATCATGCACATTCAGGGAGCCTCGGCACACACAGCACCCTCCCACCTCTCACTATTTTCCTTTATCTCTATTCCTCAATACTGGCCACAACCCCAAAGATGGACTTGCCCCTAGACAGAGAAAACTCAAGTTCCAACACCTTTTAGATAATTTTAAAGCAAAAAAGCCAGGCCGGGTGTGGTGCCTCAAGCCTGTAATCCCAGTACTTTGGGAGGCTGAAGCAAGAGGACTGCCTGAGACTGGGGGTTCGAGACCAGTCTGGGCAACTTGATGAGACCTTGTCTCTACAGTAAATCAAAAAATTAGCTGGGTGTGGTAGCTCACACCTGTAGCTCCAGCTACTTGGAAAGATAAGGTGGAAGGATCACCTGAGCCCAACAGGTCGAGGCTGCAGTGGCCCTGCGCATGCCACTGCGCTCCAGCCTGGGCAACAGAGTGAGACTCCAACTCAAAAGCAAACAAAAAAGCCCAAGAGCCATTACCAAATTATCCTCTAAAACTAACTTTCAAGATTAAAAGTTTATGAAAACAGCAACTAAAAACAATTGCACTTTTAATAAATAAAACCTTTGTAGACTTTATAGCTCGTGGCTCCTTATCTTCACCATCTGTCTCTTACTCATCGACTTCAAATCTCAACTTGAGCCTGTGACTTCCCTAGATTAGGCCCCCTGCCAATCTTGTCAAACACTGTACTTCCACTTCATAGCACTTAAAGGGGTTTTACTTAAAAGAATTCTGTAACACCTTTGTATACATTAGAATGTAAGCCTCCTATAAACACAGGAACTTTAACTGAACCTTGGTTATACTCCTATAATCTAAGCCTAAACTGAACATATAATAAGCATTTACCCTCTACTGGTTTAATGAATAACTGCCTTTTAAAAGATTAGTGTTGGGGGGGGTTGTTTTGTTTTGCGTGTGTTTTGTTTTTGAGTTGGAGTCTTAAGTCTTACTCTGTCGCCCAGGCTGCAGTGGCATATCATGGCTACCGCAGTCTCGACCTGCTGGGCTCAGGTGATCCTTCCACCTCAGTTTCCCGAATAGCTGGAACTACAGGCATGAGCTACCATGCCCAACTAATTTTTTTATTTATTGTAGAGACGAGGTCTCACCAAGTTGCCCAGGCTGATCTCAAACTCCTGGGCTCAAGCAGTTCTCTCACCTTGTCCTCCCAATGTGCTACTACCACAGGAGTGAGCCACCACGCCCTGCTGGCTTTTGTTTTGTTTTTGTTTTTAAAAGCAAAATCTCTACTTTGTTTAGGGAAAGCTTTAACAGGAAAATTCATCAGAAAATACTCCATACAGAATGACAGTATTCAGATCCCTAACAAGCCAAGAAGTGTCACATAGACTACATGCTTGAACTGGGATGCATTCCAGAAAACTAAAGTAACTGGGCAACAGTAAAGAAGATGACATACACCGCAGATAAGTTCAAGTAAATACATGTCGAGGAGACTTTATAACTTTATCCAACACCTACAGAGAGGTCTGAAGTCACACAAAAACCACCCAAGAAAAACAAATACACTTCTCAGAGTATTTCAGTGATGTCATTAGAATTCACAATGAAAGAATAAAGAGAATAGCATTTTTGCAAGACATAAAATTTGAGCGGTGAGGATAAAATTCAATCTAGATTTAATATTATTACAGCTATTAATTGTTAAAAGAAGCAAAACTAGTCCTAAAACAGAATCTAACTTTTCTCTCTAAAGCCCTGTTCTATCTTTTCAAAAAGCTAGAGGACAATTCTGTCTCTGAGAAACCATATGGTGTCCCAAAGTTCCTTTCTTCAGAATGAAAATATTCACAACAGTATGGTAAAGAAAATGTCACCTCCTGAGCTTATATAAAATAGAAGCAAAAAATCATGGTCTCAAAGTCACTATCATATACATAAAACTTTTAATTATTTTTTAAAAATTTTCCGCTGAAGCTTGTCTAGAATTAAATTTATTTTTAACCAGAAATTTGTGGGTAACTTGAGAATTACAGAAATCAAATTCTATTCTGAGACTTCCCTCTTCTGATTTATTAAAAACTGATTTTAGGCAACACATTTATGAGAAATCAGAACTGATTAAGAAAAACAAGCCTGTAAAGATACTTTGCAAGGCCAGGAACTTTCTATCTCTGGTTGCTGCCTGAAGTTCAAGATATAGGTGGCTATCATGCTTAAAGGTTAGTTCTTTCAGAACCAGTATGAAACTTTATTTGACAGCCTTTTTTTTTTTTAAGAGACATGCTGACCAGGCTGGTCTTGAACTACTGGCCTCACACCATCCTCCTGCTTTGGCCTCCCAAAAGTGCTAGGATTACAGACGTGAGCTACTACACCCAGCCAAGAAACATCATGAAACTTTATGCACCAGAAATTTTTCATAATCAGCCTGGAAGAGAGAGAGAGTGAAGAAAATGAGCAAAAAACTATGTATATTTTCCAGGATGAACATCTTGGATTTAGCTATGTTTTATGTAGGTTTCCAAACAATAAAAACATTAGTGATCCTGGAAACTAGAAGACAATGAAGCAATATCCTCAATGTCCTCAGGAAAAAATTGTTTCCTACATGGAAAATAAAATTCTGTATCTAGGGGGGAAAAAGAATCAATCAATTCTCATATAAAGACAGTTATAATGCGGTAGCTCCAAATATGAGAGGGTTTGCACATAATGCTCTTTACCTATTCCAAAGAAGCCATCCGCAAGTCCAGCAGGGAAAGATACTCGTTTTATTAGAATTACAGGAGACACCAAGGATGGCCAATCAGTGAAGAAACAATCCATTCCTCAGGACAGTACAGCATGCAGTTTTATAATCAAGCAAGTTAACTATTCAAATTGCTATATGGTGTTGACAATCACAATGAATAAGGGTGCCGCCTACATAGTTCTCAGCTCTGCTAGATCACCTGCATCCTCTGGCTCATTACTGGGAATAAGCATATCCCACAGAGAACAGCCTTGGCCAGATGCTACTTTCTAAAGGAGGGGGAAAGGGTCTATGTCCAAATATTTACCTCACAACAGTTTGATATAAATGTCCCAAAAGTGAACAAGCCCCTGCCAACTCTTCCTTAAAAAACTACTGCAGGGAGAAAAGAAAAGCAAGAATTCTCACCCCAAAATGGTAAAATAGTCTAGAACAACTGTGTAGGCCTAGGGAACAATCAGCCTGGAAGAGAGAGACCGATTCAGAAGGGATGTCTTTAAGTAATTACATGAAACTGACAGAATACTTCATGTGTCCAAATATGTTGACAGGTAATGAGAAACTGAACTTAGAAAAACAGTGGTGGAATTATGAAAAGAGAGAAAACATAGTATTTTGCATGACTTATTTGTGATATTAACAGTCATTAGTATTATAAATATCAAATACTGCTTTCATCCCAAAATATGACAAATTATATTGAGAGGAGAGAATAAGAAAACAATTTAGGAATTAAATCTTAATTTTTCCTTATAAGAAAGTCAATACATACTTTAAAATAAAAAACAAAAAGTAAAAGTAGATTATCTGAAGATATAGAAGAAGGTATCAAAAGAAATTGTTAAAAGAGATGAAAGTGACTACTTCTAGAAAGCAGGAATCTGCTTTTCATGATAAATATAAATCATAGTTTCAATTTTAACTATTAATAAGCAATTTAAAAATATAATAAAAATTTAAAGAAGAAAATAAATACAATCTTACAAGCAACCAGGCAGAAAAGCAGGATGAAAAAAGGAAATCAGAAACATAATAGTCTCAGAATTCTCCTCTGAGATTGTAATTTCCAAAGAAAACTGGAATGGCCACAACAATTATCTACCACATCTGCTGTTCAGAACTGTGACTTTGCTGCTACTACCCCTTCCTGCCTTAAGAGATAAAATCTAATCTCCCCCTAGAAAAGTATGTGCAGGCCATGTGACTGCTTTCACTAACAGGCTACAGTATAAGTGATGCTATGGGTTCTGGGTATAGCCCTTAACTAGCCTGGCAGGGTGCTCCCACTTGAGCCACAAACTGCTATGTGAAAAGTCCAGGCTATACTGATGAAGAGAGGAGTCAAGGAGAAAAGCAACAAGACGGGAGACATGTAAGTAAGAGCTGCCTTAGACATCCAGCCAGCCCAGCCCTCAGATGTTTGTTACACCTCAGGAGATAATCAGAGCATCTCCAGCAACAAGGAATGCTAGAAAACAATGTAGCAATGTCCACAGGGTCTGAAAGGAAAAATATATGACCTGAGAACTCTGTACACAGCCAAGAAGTAATTTATTCATGTGAAACAATAAAAATACTCTAAGCAAAATCTACAAGGTTAAAAAATATATTCTATATATAAGACAGAGCTGAAGCCATATACTTTCATTACCAAACAAAAAGGAATATAAAATAAGGATTCCACTAAAAAATTAGGGAGAAAAAACTAGTAAAAGCAGAAGAAAAGAATTAGTAAAGATAAATGAATTACAAAATTAAAATTGCTGGAGCTGATAAATCCAAATCCACTGGGTCTTTAATAAATAAGCCACCAGCTATCTGTGATAGGCAACCTCTAAAATGGCCCTCTACAATCTCCATCTCATGAATACTTTTGTAATCCCCTTTCCTTGACTGGGGAGTCAGTGGACCAAAACCAGGGCCTCCTTTCTAACATCCAGAACCCAGTAGAAATAACAGGATATCACTTCCAAGATTTTGTAATAAGACCACAGCTTCTGTCTGAACTGCTCTGGCTCTCTCTCCTTCTCTATCAGAGCACTCTCACTGAGAGAAGCAAGCTACCATGCTGTGAGCAAACCAAGAACCACTTGGTATGGTGAGGAACTAAGGTCCAAAAGTCTAACACCCCATAAGAAACCAAAGTCTGCAAACAACTACACAGGTGGGTGTGGAAATAGTTCTGCAACGACTGCAGCCTCAGCCAACAGCTTCACCGCACACTCAGGACCCCTTGGGCCTGAGGCACCCAGCTACACTGCTCCTAGATTCCTGACCCACAGAATTTGTTTCAGTATTTTTTGTTTTAAGCTGCTAAGTTTTGGAATAATTTGCTATGCAGCAATAAATTAATACAGTGTGTTAATCAAGAGAGGAAAGGAAGAAATGTACAAAGTTAACACTGAAAATATGTCAAATACAAAAAAAGCCAAAATTATAGAGAAAATCCTGCATAACTCTGTGATATATTTCAAAATCTACAAGAAATTAATTATTCTCTAAATCAGCTCAAATTACCAAAACTGACCCAAAAAGATAAAGCAAACTATGGGAGAAGCTGAAAAAAAACAGAGGGGGAGGAAAGCAAGCTTCCCTAATAAGTTCTTTCAAACAGTCAAGAACAATTTCTTGTTCAACTGTTCCAGAATATAATAAAAGTTTGCTGATTGTTTTGAAGACAGTATAACATGATTCCAAAACCTAACAGCTTCAATACAAACTAAAAATAGACGAATCTTAAAAATGGACACTGATATAAAATTCTAAATACAATATTAGCAAAAACAAATCCAGGAGTATATTAAAAGAACACTATATCATAATAAATAAAGTTCTTTCCAGAAATATAAAGCTAATTCAATAACGGAAAATCTATTAATATAATTCACTCAAGCCAATGAAGAAAAAAATATATAATCACATTAAATGTAAAAAACACATATAATATCAAAATGAATAAGCAGTTCACAGAGAAAGTAGAAAGGTGACTGCCAGGGGTTGGAGAAAGGGAAGAATATAGTTATTGTTTAATGGGTACAGAGTTTTAGTCTGGAAAAATGAATAAGATATAGAGATAGAAGGTGGTGATAGTACAAAAAAATATGAATTCATTTAATGCCACTGAACTGTACACTTAAAAAGGTTAAAATTGTAAACTTTGTTATGTATATTTTACCGTAAAAAAAGGCTTTTTAAAAAATTTAAGTGTCTTTTCTATTATCCAGACTCCTCTTTGCCAAATAAATTTTAGAATCAATTAAAAAGTAAAACAAAAGTAACCCATGTAAAATGTATTTTCTTCTAGTGAGTACTAAGCCCATGTAAAAATTGGTACTTAGCTCAAGATGTCCTGCTTTCCCTTTAAAAGCAATCAATAAATACAAATATAAGAAAATAAGTCTTCTCAGAAACAAACCTAAGGTAAAATAATCTACTTGCAAATTATTTTAGTGTCAAAAACAAACTCACTTCTGAATTTCCAAACTTTTTATGAAGTCTTCCTCCAGAGGGCTGATTCCCTATGGAGCCCCATGCATATTAGGTAAGAGGTATTATGAAATGATGAAAAATATCATTACCTATTCTCCTATAAACTAGTTCTTAAGTTTTAATTCACTAATGCTTTAATGCCTTTCAACTCTAAACATGAATGGTTATAAAACATTCATTACATTTTTACAATCTCTGAACAAAAATTATATTCACATTATAGATGACTGGCCCCAGAACTTCTAGTGAGTCAGCTGTAAGTCTGGGAAAATTCAAGTGGTGCTACCACCCAGATTGGGGCTCACATCTTTGTGGCCCTCACTGATAAAGAAGTACATTTCAGCCGGGCTCGGTGGCTCAGCCTGTAATCCCACGCCTTTGGGAGGCTGAGGTGAGTGAATTGCCTGAGCCCGAGGGTTCGAGACCCGCCTGGGCAGCGAGACCTCATCTCTACAATAAATCAAAAAATCAGCCGGGCGTGGTAGCGCGCGCCTGTAATTCCGGCTACTTGGAAGGCTGAGGCGGAAGGATCGCCGGAGCCCAGCAGGTCGAGGCTGCGGTAGCCAGGAGCGGCCACTGCACTCTGGTCTGGGCGACAGAGTGAGACTCCAACTCAAAAAAAAAAGAAGTACATTTCATGCAATTCAAGACTTCCTTAAGAAATATTACAATTACACCTATCTATACACATACAGAAAACAAGATTTTTTTTTAAACACTGCCCCAGAAAGTTATAGAGATGAGATTTTTAAAAACATCTTTGTCACATATAAAGATACGAAAATAATGAGCAATAACCGTAACTTTAAAAAAAAAAACCATATAGTCATACCTAATTTTAACTCTTTGATCATCTGTACTGTTTTCTTTCTTTATATAAACCTGTTTCCCCAAACTAAAAAAGGAACTATTGATGCAGTTTAACCAGGAACTGACTTGAGAAGTCAAGGTTTTAATTGCTTTTATTATTCTCTTCAAAGTAAGCATATTTGTTAGAAAACATTCAGCAACATTTGTGGTGAAAGGTAATGTCAAAACTAACATTATCTAAATTCAAAATTTTGCATGCCAGATTAAATTATCCTTCAAAGGATAATTGTTAACTAAAAACGATCAATATGTAAATATTAGTGGAAAAGTATCCAGGTAATTTAAGTAATAAATGCAACATGCAGATCTGTATGCATAAAATACCACCTTTGTGTTTGTTGAGATGTACACATCCTTGAAAAATTTCTAGAAGGATATACAAAAGAGTTAACAGTGACTATCTATAAGGTATATGAGGGGGACCCCAAAAACCCATCAGCATCAGTGTACCAGCAAGCCTTGTTGTGAGGCTGCGTTCCGCTTCACTGAATTGGAGGGGGGGCTTCTTTTGACTCGTTTGCCCATTTCATGAAGTGTGATTTACCAGTGCACCTGCCCACACCAGGTTCAGCAGTTCTTAACCAAAAAACTGTAAGACCCCCAGGTCCCAGCCTTCCTAAACAACCAATCTCACCCCGAGGGACTTTTTTTGTTTCCCTGGGTTTAAAAAGTCCTCAAAGGAAAACATTTTGCCAATTGTGGAAGAGGTGAAACAAACAAACAAACAAACAGGAGAAGCACTAACAAGCATCAAAATTGACAAGTTCAAAACCTGTCTTGAACAGTGGAAAAAACATCCCAATGTGTGTACTGCATCAACGGGAGTGTACTTTGAAGGTGACTGAAGTTTAAACATGTAAGAATACAGAATTTTGTATAAATTCCGGGTTTCTGGGGGTCCCACCTCGCACATCAAACAAGAGAGTTGTTTACTTTTCACGTTATGTTCCTTAGATGGGGCCATTAAAATTTTGTACATCACCAACATATATCTTTTTTCAAGAGACTTTTCAATTTCACCTTACAGTTTAATTCGTACAGTCTGTAAAAATTTACTGATAAAGCTTTTCACATTCACTTAATCTCCCGGAGTTTACCTACTTCGTCGATTTCCTGGTTTTGGGATTGAATACACTTTCTCTTCTCCAACTTTCCCAGAATTTTTTCTTCTTTTTCTAAAATTAGAATAATTTTGTATTTAGAGTTATCGTCTCACGTCCTATAAATGGTTGATTGTTCACTGTCTTTGATGTTTACCTTCCTTATGCCTCATGTTTTTAGAAAAGTGACAAACACCAACAGCTGGAGCTGCAGTAGAGACATCACGGGTACCTTAAAAAATCCCCCAAAACTCTGTGACCACATATATTGTCACAGTGGACCTCTTTCTACAGCAGCAAATACTTTTTTTTTTTTTGAGTAGGAGTCTCACTCTGTCACACAGGCTGGAGTGCAGTGGCACGCTCACGGCCACCGCAGCCTCGACCACTTGGGCCCGGCTAATCTTTTTCTCGACTTATTGTAGAGACGAGGTCTCGCCAAGTTGCCCAGGCTGGTCTCGAACCCCTGGGCTCGGTCAGTCCTCTCGCCTCGGCCTCACAAAGTGCTGGGAATACAGGCTTGAGCCACTGCGCCCGGCCAAGCTCTCGACACTATGAACCAACAACGGCGATGATGGAGCAAAAACATTCATGCAGGAAGTTAACTGGAAGACAAAAGCATTCCCGGCAGAAGACTTCGCCCGCTCAAAACTGGCTTAGTCGTTACCTACTAACTTAGCAGCAACAGCCTGCTCAGCTCTCGGTTCTGCCATGAAACGCCGTGGGACCTCGGAGCAGCGTGACCCACCCCCTCCCAACAAGGAGGCTGCACCTCTGTAAAACGGGTGTCGTTACGCCCACCCGGTTCAGTCCCGTGAGAACCTCGCACAAAGAAGGGGCTCAAAACGGCAGTGCTCGCCCCTTCCCCTTCGCGAAGCCTTGCACCCAGTAGCCCAGGCGTCCCTCCTCACCGGCCTCCCGCGCCCGAGCGCCGCCCCGCGCGCCTCCCGCAGCTCCACGCGGAAGGGAGGCAAGGAGGATGCCGCAAGCTCTCCCACCTGGGACAGGAGGGAACAAATGCCGGACCGAGCCCACCCTCCCCATCACCAAGCCCCCTCGACAGACGACGGAGCCAGAGTCGTCTCCCCGAATCCGAAAAGAAGGTCCCAAGACTCACCGCGGGGAAGAAGGAGGCCAGGCGAACGCACCACGCCGGCGGCCCCTC